ATAAGCCTCCTCACGCTGACCAGTCAGATTAAACTGCAATCGGCTGACGAAATTCATACTACAGTGTCAGAGTAGGAGTGGTCAGTTACGTTTTATGCCTGTGGTGTGTACATATACGGTATTTTAGAGTTTAAATTCATAAAATGTCAAGTAGTGATACGGCTAAAAAAGTGCTAATTTGTGTCCCTACAATCCACCCAAAAAATTTCCTATACCCAGCCGCATATTATTAGAAAAAATAAATGAAATTTCGTTCGTTTCTTAATGTACAAGCAGCCTCGTCTGGAAGATCAATATGTATAACGATGTTTTGGAGCAGTCCGGTGCTTAAATAGACAGAGTGTAACATTGGATGAATTTGCGATCCAGCATCAGATAGCGCTGTTTCGATTCTACAGGTCTCATGAGTGGTGCAAGGCTGAACCACTGAACTGTCCTAAAAAGAAAAAGCCTGACATCTTTCCTACGAAGATGCCATCTATGGGATCGATGGAAGACTCAATCTTCGAACATCAAAGGGAAACGAGATTTCCCAATGCGGTAGGGATAAGCACATGAGGTCGACAAAAAATAATCAGAAGCCTTTTCCGAAAGTCGCCGTCAGGCGGCTCCTGCAAGTTTATATTCGATTCGAACATATAGACGTTAGTCCGTGACATACAAACTTTGTACTCTGTATAACTATGTACAGAGGACCACCATGCGCATCACACACAGCAGAGTCAGGTTTCCCAAATGGTCCGATATAAGGAAGTATGAGCACCAGAGTCTGACTTCCGACCACAAAAGTTAAGATTTCAATCCTGCTGAAGTGCCATGTTGCAGGCTGAGGACCACTCGGAAGTAAGTGGAGGTGAACAATGTGGGGAACATTTTATCTCAGGGCTCTCAACCCCGGGGGCCATGCTGGTGGCGTCCCAATGCGATCAGTTCAGCCAAGACAGATGTCATCGCTTTCACGTCATTGCCTTCCATAATGGATTTAATTTGGGAAACTTTTCCATTTTAGAATATGAAACCTTAAAATCAAGAATTATGAAGTTAAACAAAAATTTTCTTTAGAATTTCTTTTATAATGTTTTAATCGAAAAGAAAATAATGCCACATATTTCTTCAATAACTTTTTAAAATACTGAAGAAATTTGAGAAAGGATTCCTTGAACTCGAAAGAGTCCACATCCTAGGTTCGGTTCTTGAATTCACATCATTTATTGAGTAACAATTGAATTTACATTTATTAAATAACAAGTACCATGAGTATATGAAGTTGCAAACAAAAACCATTGATACTCAATAAGTGAATAACTTGTTTTGATTTATAGATCAACTCAAAAATTTTAAATGTTTAGTCAATACTATAAAATATAATAGTGAAATACATAAAATACAACACAGTTGTTTTGGAAGAACAGTAAATATACTTGGAAGTGACACAAAAATATTTCATTTATTCATTTATCTATTTGTACACTGTTCTACAGGTTACATCTAACTACAGAAGAGGGATATAAGTCATATTACAATTAGTTATAAGGTAAAAACAATACATAAGGCATAATAGGCATAATCTCATAAACTCAGAGATGGAACAGTAAAAAATGTCGAACTGATAACTTGCTGAATTGGATTTGACACACATGATATGCAGAGGCGAACATTTCAGAATATTTGTACGTGGTTTGGATAAAAAAAATTATCCACTCTGGAGGTTGGTCCAGGTTCATTGAAAAGAAGTTTTTGCAGAATATGTTGTACATAAAATAAGATAAGAAAGAATTAGATAATGTAAAATAATGAATATTGAGTAGGTATGGAAATGTTAAAATATGAAAATATCTCTCATATCAATGAAATGAGCAATGTGTTCCCTTAATCGATCAAAAATAAAACTCTTCAAAGATTTTTTGAGATTATGAAGTATATTTATATCGCGAATCAACACCAGAACTGTTTTGAATAATTTCGGTGCCAAATAATTTCATGAACGTTGGACAATTGACTTATGCGTCTGAATAAAAATATAGTCTTTTTACGGGTATTGTAGAAATGACAAAAAGGTTAAGGCTTTCGCGGTCGAGGTTTTCAGTGTCACTATTTTTGGGTTTGAAGTCCGTTGATTTTTGGAATTTCTTCTTGACGTTTCGCTAGCGCTAGTGGATGGCTTCTTCAGAGGTTTTCACATCCTGAGTTATTACATATTTACGGCTGCGTAATGCGTGTTTATGTTGACTCATGTAGCTTGGTGTGCTATAATACCTGTCTATGGATTAGGTAAATTGCGTTAACCATATTCGTGTTGACTCAGGTAGTTTGGTTTGCTTATATCTATCTGCACCTGAATTAGGTCCTTTGTCAATAACATTCGTCGACCCTTTCCAATTTCCAGTCCTGCTGTTTGCTACTCTTGAACTCCTTAAAATGGGATTCCATATTCGGTTGAGGTTTACAGCTTCTTATTTTCTGTTCACACGGATAATTTCTACAGAAGAGAAGAAGCTGTTAACCTCAATCGAATATGAAATACCATTCTAAGATGTTCAAAAATAGCAAACAGTATGACGGCTGGTAGAAAATGGTCGACGAATGTTATTAACAATTCACCTAATCCAGGTACAGATATTAGCACACCAAACTACCTGAGTCAACATAAATACTCTTCATGCAGTTATAACTTCAGGAAGAAATTTTAAAAATCGAGGGCCATCGGACATAATTTGTTATTACAGTATTACAACAGAAGAGCTTGGGAATATCGAAAAATGAGAAAAATCCTTCGGTATAGAATCGTGTTGGTTTAGTTAAAACCAATTTCAAAAATATATTTCGCATCAATTCCGACTATCAAATATGAATGTGAAAGGCTCCTTCCCCAGCAGGCAATTTCTTAGCCGGACTCTCGTCTGGAGCGTGATAGAGAGTTTTCCCTACTCAAGAATGAAGCGCAGCTTATTATATGAAGAATCTACATGAAAATTCCATTCTAGATGTGCATCTAAAACTACACCCAAATATTTAACTTTCGTTTCAGATTTCATTGTATGTTGGCCTACATCGAGTACGAAAATAAATAGTTTTATAATAATATAAATATTTTCATTCAGTCAAAGTTTGATCATACTATTATATTTTTTATCTTCAACCTTATCTTGCCAAATGGTCTTGAAATATGGTTTGCCGAACATATTCATGATCAATTATTTTTCCAACTAGTGGGTGTTACATTCGTATAAAGCTTAGTGTTCACAATGTTGGATGAAATTAATTAACGTCAACCTTCAAACCGTTCAAATATTATCAAAAGAATACTCGTATAAGGAAGTTGTATAAAGATTCTGTTGGTTCCACTACTCAAAATTTTTCGGGTAACCATAATAGTATCGATGATGTAAAATCCATTAACAGCATACTTGGATTACCTGACCTTAGTGATTCTTCGTTTTTTGCAGACATCAAATATTATTCTTATGTCAATTTGCTCATGAGATAACATTTCATTTGAATGAACAAATTATTGCCGCACATTAAGTGTAATTCATCAAAAATTAAATTCAAAATAAATAATGATGAATTTTACATGGTCACATAGATGTTTAACATTATTCTGCGAATCCATTTATTATTGCTATTGTCTTCCATTAGAAAGTTTGCAGGTTATCATAATTATAATTGAATATTTGATCTAACATGATCAAGATTTATATAACAGTCATAAAATCGCATGTTTTTTGTTTCCTTATCGTAAAAAGTTAGTCAAATTGTAGTGATATGCCATAATCACCACATTACAAAACAAAGTTCCTCAGCAGCGTCTGTCTGACTACCGATCGGATTTTTTGTACGGTTTTTAACAATGGATGGAGTGAATGTTTTATTTGAATTGGTTGAAAATTAATAAGTTTTTCGTGCGAAGTCGGGGTTTAAGTGATACCCATGCGAAACCGGGAAACTTGCATAGAAAACGCTGCATATTCTATTTGAGGACAGATCACTACATATTGTTCGTTTTTATCGATCATTTTTGGGTTTTTTCATCTCCCACTCTATCAAGGATGTTTTGAAAATAAAACAAACCAAAGAAAAAACTGCAAGATTCATTAAATTTTCACCAGTTCTAGAGACGGTGGCACGGTTCAGCCTCCAAAACATCAACATAAGTATCTGCATAATTTATTAGCTCCTATTTCAATTTTAGTATTTCGAATTTACACATGAAATGAAAAGTCTGCACTTTCTACACTTGAAACACTTATGAACTTAGAGATATCAGCAGTAAGATTGTAAATCTGTAAGAAAAACAACTTCTAGTGATCTATCAATCCCAGATTCGACCCATTGAGAAATGCTCACGCATGTATGCACATGTGAAAGATATTTTTGAGATTTATGATTCTTTGAATTTTCTGAACTTTTAGTCTTTCATGTTATGAAAAAATTGTTAAATATAGATTAATAGAGAATTTGACGAAGTGCACTGATAGGCAAACAGAAAAATTCGCCCCAAAAATTTACTGCGTACTTTGAACTCACGAAGACAAAATTTGATTATTGAATATAACTGGCCAATACTTGATGAAAATCCACATTAGAACGCATTAATACAGTTTAATACTTTATAGTGAGAATCACACAATAAACTGTATGATTGTATGAATTCTAAAACTCGATTATTCAGTAGTTTGCATTTATATTTCTTGAAGGTTGTCTTTTTTTGGAAGCAATCGCTTTCTCTCTAAAACCGCCTCCAGTAAAATCTTCAGAAGTTTCCAAGTCTTCTTTAGAAAACATTAAAAAGGAAATTATCGGTTATATTTAACAACAGAAACAATACATGGAACACTATCCTAGCATATAGATCATGACTGAATTTCTATCTTCAAGTCTAGTTCGATATCGCCCAGCAATAATTGTCGTTAAAATTCCCCTTTCGGGTAAAGTCTCACTCATGAAGGTAAGAGTCTTCCTAAATGACACTTCATTCACATAACTTTCGAAATACCTGGTGCCTTGTCGCCATAGAAAGCTTTTCCACAATGATACGGGTTTTTTCCATAATGACATTTCTCCTAGCTACTGCTTGGACCTTTTATGTACCATGGTAGGCAAAAAAAATGACCCTGAGTCTACACAAGAGGTAAACTTCAACAAAATGAACCCAACTGTCCTCATTGCAACATTGTCTCAAGAGCAAAAGTTCTTCAGTTCTTTTGATCCTGTTAACAGTCGGTAAACGACTTATCGCCTTCTCAATAGCAGTATATCTCATGAATACATCTTGCACCAACTTTCTGAACAGCCTGAGCTGAATTTGCATCGGGAGTGGAAAGAAGCTGCCCCTGAGCCGGTCAGTTATACGTGGAAAAGTTCTGCATTGCTGAATCTAATGTGTCCACAGGTATAGTCGACTTGCAGATGCCATACTATACTAAGGTTACTGTGTCCATTAACGTAGGAATCCTCAATATCGATCAATCAACTGAAATTTCGTCAGTGTATCATTGGGTCTGCCGTAAAGCATATTCCATAATATGACTCACAGGTACTATTCCAGAGTTCTATTATCTAGCCTAGGTGACTACCGGTTACCTACTTTCCAAGCCATATATTTGTGCTGTTTACTCACCCGACAAAGGTATTCACAGACTAATTTTCGAAAGTGTACCATCATATTTCAGCCTTGGGGTGGATTACTCCTCACAAAGGCGCACAATCTATTCTTTTTCCGCTGCATACAGTTCTTCACCATTTGACAGGTTCTCACTCTTCTCAGTTGACCTGAAAGTATAATCACCAGATATAGTAATCGACTTTGTCAAAAGTCCTGAATAGAGAATACAACGAAGTGTTTCTAAGCAAGTAATTTATTATCCAAATGAATATTCTTGTAGTTGTACTCATAGTTCACCTAGCGAATTTGAGCATATTTCAATTTTCTTTCATACAAAATTCAATTGTTTTTCAACTATTTTTGACTGATCTGGTATCTGTTAGAGTTATAATAGACGGGATGCTTCTTCCCCGCTTGTGGCTTTGTTTACGATATGAGACAATCACTAGTTCACTGTAGTTGATACAGTTTCTCTTTCAAATGCGTTGAAGCATCCATAAAATCAGTTGAATATCAGTCAGCAGTGCTGTCATGTTTAGATCTGTCATGCACTGACGAGAGATAATACTCCGAAATCAATCTGAAGGTGATTGCTATATTGATTCGAGCGAGATCCTGCTGTTTGATGAACAATAACCATCTGCAACTTGGACAAGTGTCTGTTGAAACATTATATAATGTCAGGGAAATATTTGCATTTGCCAAATTCCACCAAGTGGAAACATTGGGAGAGGAGAATATTTCGAATTTCATCGTTGAAGAACGAAATGACACAGTTATACTGATTTAATTTCTGCATTGAATAGTTAATAATCATTCATATGACTAGCTAGAGGAGTAATAGTTTGTTGATGGATAGCTACACTCTGTCTATCTAAGCTATGGAGTGCTCAAAAACATCATCATGCATAGTGCACTTGATATCCCGGACAAGGCCTCTTTGTACGACCCAAGTTTCATATTTTTTTTGATAATATACTTCTCGGTATAGGAACATTTTTAGGAACACAAATTAGAAGTTTCTTCAGCTGAATCAGTACTTAGCATTTAAAAAATTTTAAACTTTAAAATACCGTATATGTTAAATCGAAACTGACCGCTCTGACACTGTAACAAAGAATTCCGCTAGCCAATTGCAGTTAAATATGATTAGCTAGCATAAGGAGGCTTCTTTATTTTAACCCAATAGATGGAAATGTGCGTGGTGATCATGGTTCGGTAACACATCCAACTTTTTTAGGGTTGTTTTTTTTGTTGTTGGATGGATATAGGTTAGGTAACAAAATACTGTTTTCAGAAATCTTAAAATCGTATATACTTTGAAAAATTTATCAGTAACTCTGAAACTGTTAAGGAAAGCAACTAGTGTCAATAGTGAGAAATCTTGTCAAATATTTATCACATACACCAATCGCGGTATAATCCATTTCATTCTATCTGCTCTTTGCAAACTTCGACAGCAAATACATTAACAATAGAAAGATAACCAGCTGGTATTTTCATGTTTACTGGAGGACGTTGCCGAAATTGCTTTCGATTGTCTGCAATGGGGGTGCTGGTTAAACGAGGGTAGCGATAAAGCATTTCTGCAACCCTAGACGTAACGCAAATTTCAGACCATAATTCATCATTTTCATGTTGGGTAAGATTTGACGTGGGTGAAGCGGATGTTGGTGTTCCATATGAATATTTATGATAATAATTTGATGCTAAAAATGAAAGTAGAACTAATGAAACGCTGTTAAAACTACTTCAGAATAACTCTGTATAGTCACAAGAGATATGAGAAATAAGCAAAATATGTACAGAGCACTTCAATATTGAAAACCTATGGGGAAGAATGTAAATTGAGATTGTGCAGATGCCTCTCTCATCAATAAATTGGAAAATTGATTTCATGAACAAATAAAAAAATCAGATATTATTCATCAGAAACTTCTGAATGGAAATGTAGTGAAGTTAGTAAACAAATTCTACTCACATGTATCTCCAAAGTTGCTCTTTAGAAACTATTTTGCTTTCCTTCTGAGCTTGCTTTTGGACAGTAAATTGTACTGAAGAGTTAGTTCGTATGAAACAACTAAAATCAGTTCAAAACTTTAAGTTCGAGGTGAAGCAGAATAATTCGAAAAAATAAATGAAATATTTTTCCCAATTATATGTAGATTATTTTATATGAACACGTCAGTTGTCACATCTGAAGTAACTTTTCAAGAAATTATGGCATGAGTATTTTGAAATTTCGGAGATTTTCACAGTGTAGTTATTATATAAAATAGTACGATTCAATGAGTAACATTTATATTTTTCGAATCTTTCTATTCTATCCAATTTGCAGATCATTCATTTTATATTGAACGAAAGTCATTTTTTGTGAAGGAAATCAGAATTTTTGTCAACCTTCTTTGGGTATTTCCACCTTCTAGTATTTGGAAAAATACAAAAATTGTAACGGAGAACTTTATTTGTGAAGGAAGGGTGGTTTCAATTTACCCAGATAAGTTACTGCGTAAATTCAAATTATTTTTCATAAAGAAAGGGACTTGTCGTATTCAATTATTTTGTCAATCATGAAAAAGTGCTAAGAAATTATACAGATATGTAAGTTAACGTTTCGGAGGCTAAAATCTGCCTTCGTCTTCAGAATTGAAAAAATCTAAGTCTATAAGCAATTTTTTTTCCAAGTCTATAAGCAATTTTTTTTCAGCTAATCCTCTCCTTTGGCAGATATCAAAGAAGTTAGGACTCTATCCTTATTTTTCTACAAGACGGAAGTAGGTTCCATTTCTAAGGAGCTGTTCAAAATACACTTCTCGCCAGATATGAGAAAATACGCTGATTCTTTGAGTCTACCTACGTCTCTTAAAGTGAAGTTCGCTGGCAATCAGTCTTATCTTGTTCCATTCAACTCAATGTTCACGGTCTGATTTCAAAATGTGTTCTGCCAATTTTGATTTGTTAGCTGTATATTAGAACTTTCAAGGTTATGTACACATACTAATAGATACCTCCACTACACGTTAAACCATTATGTGAGTGTTAGAAAAGTATTCCAGAGCAAAAAATATTTATAATTGAGCTAAGATTTCAATAAAGAAGTATAATTGTTTCAAATGAGAACGCTTATCCAGATTCGTTCGTACATTAAAGTAAACAGTCTACAACCACCTACATCTTTCACAACTAACGTTAAACCTCATATTCCAGGACTTTCTGAAAAAATAAGACGAAACGGTAAGAGATATGATGTTAGAACTCATTACAAAACATCAAATACACTTAGATCTCGACTTACACATACAAAAGTCAACATCACAGGAGGAAAAACCAAAAATTGCATTTATAAATTACTTTGTTCTCGTGGTAAATGTTACATTGGTGAAACTTTGAGACTATTGAGAGCATGTGAGAATAAACATTGAGATTAGGTACATCAGAAATAGACAATTAACAGGATCATTCAAATGATTTATTCACTTGACTCGCAGAGGTTTCCGGATAAAAGATAATCGGTTCAAATTTGAATTGAAGGGGTTATATTTTTAGGAGTGATTATTTTTTTGGAAAAGACAGTTTTTGGCTTTCTACTACTCCATCTGATACAGAAAGAGGGATGAGAGAATCTTCCAAAGAAAGGAAGGAAGTAATCAATTTGAAACTCTATACATGAATGTGTAGATCATGCAAAGAAGTAACTTTCACATACAAACTGAAAGAAAGTCCTCCTGAAACAGCTACTTTCATATAAACATTGAATTACACACATGGGTGACTGCTGATGTTTCTCATCTTCAACATTTTAGGTGTGCTAACTGTTCCTTATATCTTATTTTAATATATCTTTCAGTATATCCATAATATTTTGCATCACTGTCCTTACATTTAATTTCATAAATTCCAGTCATTTCCGAATTCTCAACTTTGTCTTTTAAGATTTCCTAAAATACTCTGTAGTGTATGATTTGTGTCTAAATTCCACCTTCATACCTAGTTCCTTGAAAATTTTTCCACAGTTCTTCGTATACTAAGATGTATTTGTCTTGGTGTTCCTAAAGTCCAGATTTCGTTCATTCGTAACCTAAACTTTAGTTTATATAGTATCATCTTATAGTATCATCTACAATACCCCTCGAGAAACCGCTGTATTGTCCGTTTTTCTTTTGTGAACCTCTCATGTGTGAGAGGAAAAGTCAACAGACGATGCACTGGGCTGAATGAAATGAAATATAAGGAACACTTGGCACACCGAAAATATGGAAGACCAGAAAAATCAGCAGTCGCCCATCATATTCTGCAACAAAACAATTTCATAGACATTAGTTTATTAAGATTGGCCAGACAAGGTAACACCAACAGGCATCTGTATGCCTGTTGTTGCTAATATAATATATAGCTTGTTAAAATATTATTTTCATTATCAGATCAACTTGATGATTACATAAGGCCACATTGTAAAATTAAGACTTTTAGATAAGACAACATTTTGAAATTATTTTGAGACTCGGGTACCTAGCAGAGGTATCCGTGGTATAAATAAGGATAACATCATATGTAGATTTAGTTTAATCTTCCCCTTAGAGATGATCACTTGGTGATCGAAACACGTATCGGGGTGTTGAAAATAAGTGTTTGGTGTTGGGATAAAACTCCAGTAATATTCACAACTTATGGTTTCATTGAAAAGTAATAACTTTTATCTACTGTAAGTTCTACGTCTGCATTGACATTTTACTCTAACTTGAATAATGGACGGGCTGACGTGTCGATAAAGACAAACATTCATAGGTGAAATAATTTCAGTGATGAATCAAATCCATACAAGGTATTGCCTGGTGGATCACTATTATAGGTAATTGATTGAATGTATTACACTGGCAAAACTGAAATCAGGTCATGACCAAATATTGAATACTGAAACTATTGTATAGAAACATGGTCTTTGATGGCCGAAATCATGATTGAAATAACCAAAATCTGGGCTGATAGGCTATGGTTGAATGAAACCTGAAGTACCAAATATTTCGTCCGCTACTGCGATAGACATCATAAATGGTATGTGTGTTTACTTCAAGGATGAAAATTATATTTCGAAGTCAATGCAAATACCACTGATGATATATATTTCAACAGCAGACGAAACGTTTGGTATTTCAGGTTTAATTGGTTCACGGCGTACCAAACCGAATTTTGTTCTTTCTGATCAATACTGAAATTATAGTCCATACCTAATTATAAAAAAGTCCTAGAGTGCCAATAGACAGTTATTGCTGTTGTTGGGTAAAAAGATGCCTACAAGTGAAAAATCTGCCAACAGGGAAGTTTCCTATTATATTTTCAATTATTTGTTGTAGGTGATTGTGTTCCAGCATTTGATTAAAACAATGATCAATGTTATAGTGCAATATGTGAACCATGATATGTGCTTGTTCATAAACGGCTCATTGATAAGTTTATCCAATTCTTCGGAATATTGGTTTAATTTATGTCGGGCGATGTTCAGCTCGTCAACGTCGATTTTGTTGAGTTTCAACGGTTTCAGTTCTGGGAGATGTCGTTTTTCAGGAAGATGATCGCAACAGCTGTATGGTATTCGAACGGCATGGTTTTTGTATGTGACGTTCTTATATCTATCGACGAAGTATTTGGAGTGAATTCTAGTGCTTCCAACAAATGAGCTGCATCCGGGTTGGATGCAACAGGGAATTGGTTTTGATCACACGTGTAACTGGTTCCATATTTTCGCAGTTAATGGTGATTGGTAGGACTTCAGATATTGTTATGAGCCACAAATTTAGACTCAGTTCCTGGACATTGTATTCCGTAGCGTAGATCAGTGAAGACTAGCAAGTTTTCAGGAGGACGGCTGTCTTCTTAATAGTTGGGCTTCGCAGTTAGCTTCCCTATCAATCGGGTAGATTGATTCTTACGCCATGATTCAGAGTTTTACAGTTTTCTGAATTTTGAAGTGAAATGTACAACAAGGATTCATCATCTCTCGCAATATATTTTTGAACAGTTAATAATATGCGATGAAGTCCCGTTCGGTTACCTGGAATTGGTATTGGTAAAAGTCGATACAGAGTGTATGTTTCTGGTTCGACCAGTGGAATTTTTAATATGAAAACAATTATAGTGCTGAAAGTATAGCAGCAGAGTGTTTACTACTGATTTTGCTGATTTATTTTCAATTTCGTAAGCCTGGGTAAATTTGGTGAGTTCGTCTCGAATTGTAAGTATATAGTTTTTTGTGGGAATTTCAAGAATGTCTACATTTACTCTTTCAAATGGTGTTTTCGGAGTTTCTGTAATGACTAAAGGGCTTTCAAGGTTTTGTCTGCAAATTTTTGCTTTTTTGCACGCTTTTTGCGTGCAAAATATTTCTTTGATCGCGAGTTCACATTTGGTACGCACAATCACAAGCATTTATCAAGGTTGTTAGAAATATTTGGTCTCCTTCAAACTCAGGGACGATTGAAAATATCTCTGACAATTTATATGGTTCAATTCCAGGGATAGGTCCAGGGATTGGTTCAGGGGCATTTTCGTTATCAGGCATATCGCTCAATTAATCGATTCACTGGATTATAATAAATCAATAATAGCAATACTCAATACCTTTTTGATAATAGAACAGTACAATTATTTTGATGATAATTGATCTGTGCAATTATCAACAATTGTCTCGACAGTGAGCCAACAATCAATCTGTATGATTATTGCAATGAAATAAAATTCAATACAATAAACGAAATGAATCTTTGTTAACTTACAGTATTTGTTTCATGGGTGATTCGTCTTGTTCTCGAAGTTTTCCACCAGGGGCTTCACTAGGTGTTCCTTCCGTGGTTTTCTTCAAGTGATGACTCATCGGGTTCTCTTGGTTTTGCTTTTCCTCGAAGGGCTCGGTTCTTTGTTCCTTGAAGGGCTCAGTTCTTCGTTTCCTTGAAGGACTCGGTTCTTTGTTTCCTTGAAAGACTCGGTTCTTTGTTTCCTTGAAGGATTGGAATCTACCGCTGCCAGTTGGAATCCTACCGACTGCGCCATATGTCATATCTTGTTTTTCACAATTCACTTTTTAAAAATTGACTTATTCCTTTATAAACACTTTAATACAATATTTGAATATAATATGAACCATTAACAATTATAATTGGAACATTAACAATTGAAAGTAAGTAACTGATGATGAACTATATTGGAGAATGATCAAATCGTTAATGAACATCTTTCTGACCTCGCATGGTCTATTTATATGTTTGGTATGAAAAACAATATTTGAACAGTGTCAGCAATTGCTTTGTCTGGAACACAAGTGTTCATCTTGCTGATACTGCACAATTAGCACTTTTCGCAGTAAGCTGTTATCGCTTGTAATTTAATACGTGTGAGACGTTAATTTGCATATAACATGTATAGAGAGATATTTTTTTACTGAAAAGAAAACTGACGTAACTGGGCACTTTTGTCTCTGAGAGACAACCTCCGGTTATTCCTCAATAAGTTTTCTGTATATTTCTTCAATTTATCTATATCTCTGACAGGAGTGGTAACTGTTGTTTCCACCATTAATATCATCATAATTATTTTCACTTCGTTGTGTTTTTGTCCCCTATCCTAATGAGATAAAACAGCTGACAAACCATATCTTCGAAATTGAAGCGAATAGTCATCTCATCTATTGAATGGTACAAATCCGCATGTGCACACAAATATCGACATCTGTGCCATGACACAAACCGAGGCTATCGATAATGTATTATTTCATAGGTCACATCGTCCCTCAACGAATTGCAGATGCCGATGAGCAGTCTAGTGTGGACGGACTGTTCGATCCGATCGTTGTCATCCACAGCAGATGAAATTTAACCATATATTCTCGGTCCACATGCTGGTTGAGCAATTAGCTAATTATCGAATAATTCGTTTTTGAATACATTCAGTTGGTCCTGCTCCTGCATCGTATGTAATCCTCCGCATGGCCTGGGAAAGCTTTCATTCTACTGACAAAATGGAAAACCAGTTAACGATATTGCTGAAAATTCTGCAGTGTTTTGAGAATATGAAAATATGGTCAGCACGAACGAATAAGACTACTTTGAAATTAATTAAATAGTACAACCAATAAATAATATCACCAATATTTTCAATGAATTCTACGCCTAATTGAAATTTGATAAAATAACTTCCCATCTGTTGAGTTTCATGGTCAACCTCGACCAGATATTTTTCTCTAGAGAATATATCTAGTTGAAGTTGGGATGATTGAACAATGTTTGATGGCTGACGTACTGTGAATAACTATGAGGCACCCTGGGTGGGTCGGGGAGTTATTAATATTACCTACCCAGAACACGAGGCTGACGACCAAGCAGTCGATGCCGTTGACACCCAAAAGAAGAAAAAGTTCCGTGTTGAACTACTGAAAAGTAGAAAGTAATTCACTAATTGTATATATTATGAAACAAAGTCTCCTACCGCAAAAAGATGATAGAACTGGCGGATACTTGATGAAAATCGATTCTAACATATTCAAAAACATACTTTAATGTGGGATTGAAGTTCCACAAAACCGCGACACGTATTTCGCTACACAAAAATATCCTCGGGCTTCTCCTACCACGTCTACCTGTCTATTTATCTGCCTGTCTGTCTAAATGCGATAAACCTCCAAAACTAGAGAACGGATCTTCATACGGCTTCCACCCATGGATGAGACGTTCCAGGAGGATGATTTGTGAGAATATTTCATTATTGTTTTGGGTAAATTTGTTGAAATATGACGATGTTTTCCGTGCGACGTTTTTAAAGAAACACCTCTGTGATTTTTTCTTGTTCCCCTTCTTGAATAATGATTCCATTATTGATATTTTAAATTCGGCAACCTGATAACGAAGCTAACAGAGTTCGAAAACATAGCACCCATGACACAATATTAGAGTCTTGAGAATTGATAATGACAACTTCTCTTCCGAAAACGCCATCTATGAAATCGACAGAAAACTCAAACTACGAATATCAAACACAAATAATGGCCAAAATCACAGTTTACTGCAAACCCAAATTTTGATATCTACCGCGAAATGAGAAATTGAGTTGCCTGCTTGCTAAAAGCTACACAAAACGCAGAGAGAGGCGGAATGCGATTACTACACCAATGCTACTGACTAATATTGTGATTGTTTACTGCTTTTTTTCCTTAAGCCTGCCACTATCGTCAAAGGTATATTACAGAGAGAAAGAATGTTTAATAAAATATATATGGCAAATTGACATTTTTGATTTGCCTTGATTTGGGATGAGCATCTGATCTATTCAAATTCTGTCTGTTTAAAATCTATTTTTCCGTTAGTCAGCTGTCGCCCCCATACGAACGACAACTCTCAGAAGTTGAGAAACTTGTTGCGAGCAAGACTAACGAGGTCTTACTTTTTAACGTGTGATTCCTAACACACGATTTCTGATACTGAATCCAGCACAAAATCAATAGTGATTGCACTGGGTGGATGGGAGTTTTTTCATATTGTGTTAACTTATTTGTGAATGTGATGCTAGAGTTACCTATTATCTGAGAAAGAAAAGTGTTTGACTTTCTACTGCTCCATCTCAATATAAAAATGTGGGAAACTTACGAAGGAATGAAGAAAGCGATCCAGTTCAAAATGAATTATTTACAAAGATGTGTATATCATGCATAGAAGTTACACCAATATGTCTTGGCACAATCATGTCGCTGGATTTGCAAAGGCTGCTTCTCAAAAGCTTGGAACACTGTTCCGAACCAGAAAACTGTACACACCTCAGCAACTTCTCATGGTCCCTTAAGTTCAGATCAGACCTAAGCAAAGCTCAAAAACAGCTGTATTGGAGACACAAACATCACTTGCAGCCTTGATAGTCTGGAATATCGAAGGAAGGTTCTCCAACCTAATCTCCATTAGTTTCTCTTTTATAGATACTTTCACGGGAGGTGTTCAAGTGACTTGGCACATTTGATTCCATCAAGAGCGGTACATATAAGAAATACGCGACGGACTGTGACTACTCATCTTGTTGAGGTCAAATCAGTACACCTCGAACTTCACTGTTCAAGAACTCTTTCATTTGGAGAACTGCGTATATATGGGATAAACTTCCTGGGAACGTTTTTCCAAATGAATTCAATCTCCAGCGATTTAAATCCAACGTGACTCATTACTTTCGCACAGGCACAGGTCTTAGATCACCTTAAGGATTTTTCAGTAGTGCTTTTGTTTTGTTCTTGAGAAAATATGAACATTTTCGGAAGTTTTTTTCTGAATGTAACTTCTGTGCATGATGTGCATATCTTCGTGAAGAGGTAATTTTGAAATTAGTTGCTTTCCTTCTTCCTTCAGAAAATTTCTACATTTTTTTGTATAAAATGTTAAACTAAGGAATCTCTTCTACATCCTTTCACGTATAGTCAGTGGGCATACTTGAAGACTGGCTATAAATCAAATCATCTAAGGAACAATTCGTTCAGGCCAGTAGATGATTTTCTTCTACATCCATTCGTTCAGTCTTCAATGAATGATTTATATGAACTAATCTCATCCAAGCCGACTCTGACACGCAATATGTTTTGGGTTAAGGCTTAAATACTGAGCTCTCTATGATTAGAGATTCCTTTTCACTTTTTTTATGCATCTGTCCGCTTATTATGCCCAAATTTTCTGAACGCAGTGCGGTGATGAATCTCGAAACCGAACAGTGGATGAATCGCATCGCAATTATTTTTTGCAGCTCCAAAATTCCCGGCAATTTAAACATTCGATCCAACGAATGTCCGACCCTACGTCTAAATGAAGTAATTTCTACGCTGCACGTCGTCATTATGTTGCCTTCTTCACTTTTTCATGGCTCTGATTGTGATTTACGTTGTAAGGAAAACCCAACGTCGGACAGCAAGATAACAAGTAAAAATTACCTTCAGATCAGGCATCAGAGTATAGCAACCCTTCAAAATATTTCAAATACAAGGAGTCAACTGATCATGGAGAGTTACCAGGATGAACCAATTGTTATGGATGCATTGTAGTATTACAATTGACGAATGACCAAAAGACGCCAACATATTTGAAAAGAACACTCCATTATGAGATTTTCACTCCAGAATTTCTTTTAACTACTTGAGAGCCGTCTGAATTTTTTTCTCAAAACACTGCAGACTCATGGGCTTACTCATATTGAATTTTTCTTCCATCCTTTCGATATTTATTCCGACAATCTTGAGCCCTTTACCAGTTTGTAGAGGTCCCTTGTTATATTATTAGGGGAGCCCAAGCAGGGATTTCGGGATTTGCTAAAGTGCGGCAGATTAATATACAGAAGGATACCTTGTACCCGGTTAAGTACCTCCACCAAATATGAGCCCCATATATAGGGCCGCCCGTGAACGATAAAGGATCAGGTTAGTAAAAAAAATTGATCATCACAAATTCTCGAGCGCGCAAGATTAAGGTAGGGTGAGTAAATTACATGCTAAAAAGTGTATATTCGAGAAATCTGACAATTTGAGAGTGACGTGAAGAAAGGGGAGGGCAGCAAAGTTGTAAAAAAATAACGTCATTTCGAGATTCTCGAGCGTAGCTAATTTTTTTTTATTTCGAAGGAAATAATTCAAGGATAACGAAAAATATATAATCTGACGATTTCCGCAAGCAGAAATAACAAAAATTAGTGTGTGATACCTATATTTCCCTCTCCGAGTTTCTATTCCTCTTTCACTTTTTCTATATCTATTACTCTCTCACTCCGTCCCCACTCTGAATTCTGTTGTCATGACGCCATCACTCGTTCGTGATGAAGATGATGATTAATTAATCAATTGATTATAAAAAATTAAATTTTTTTGAGATCTTTTTTTTTCAATTATTTTCCTATAAATACAAGTATTCTACTTAAAAAACAAACACTTATTCATTTGCATGTTTTTTCCTGAGCTTCTCAATTAATTAAGTTCAACGGAATAAAAAAAATTGAAAAAAATATTGTTTTTGTCAGATTAAGCGAATCCCTCTAGATAATCGTCAGATTATGAGACAGCACGTCAAAAACATAAAGATGAACCATATATATCTTAATATGATGCGCTTGAGTATTTCAAAATGGCGAATTTTTTTTGCACATTATAATAATGGCCGCGAGTTTCCGTCAGATCGAAATCGTCAGATTATTGAATGAGAGCTTGTTTTGTTGCACTTAACACCCCCTTAGAAAATCTAATGCGATCGATTGATTTTTTTTCTTTTCAGTTTTAACCCTTACGTACAACCACCCACATCATGCAAACGATCAGATTAACATACCAACATTATTAAAAATACGTAGAACATTGATGCTATCAATATCTGACGCGCTCGAGTATGTCNATTTTTTTTTATAATTTTTCAAGAAATCTGGTTATATACTCGTAAATTACCCTCCATCATGGTATTCCAATGCATTGATCAGGATATTTTTCATCTTGGCACCACTAAAAAAGCTCAGAGATGTGAGAAATAGGACGAGAAATATGTGGTATGATTGCCAGATGGTGGAATACGTGAGATTAGAAATTAATCATTTACATTTATAAGGCATGTAAATAAAAGTGAAATTGTATTCAGATATATTAAAACCTTCCTGATAAATTCAACAAAGGTATCAGAATGCAAATATTCAGTTGACATATATCTTTTTTATTATTTCAATCGTGGGAATAATAATCCATTCTTTTTTGGATTGAACAGTGTTCACTCTATTATCAAGTCGGCTTTTGAAATTTATGAATTTATTTCATCATAAGATCCATTATTGTTTGACTTACCTTTAGTATTTAGTTTCATTATTAGAGCATTATGAACTTGTGCAGCATTTCTCTACTTGTAACAGTGCAATATTTCGGGTGGTATCTTTCATCACCGTATAGAAGTAAACACAAGTAAGTTCACTCTCGGCCATATTTGCGCGAATTTTATGCGCCACCGAACTACAGCGCAGCCGACTGAATCAGAGGCGTTTACCAAGCGAGCCAAATTGAGGCATGGAATATTATTACAGAGTGAGTCGTTGTAAGTGGTGGTTTTGTATTTGTGAAACATTTGTGTATAGTTTCAAAATGAGCAAGTGTCGAGCTGTGGGTTGCTGTAATTTGCAGGGTGATGTCGGCATTCATTTTTTTCGATTTCCAATTGACGAAAAAATGTATGTTTTTCTAGCATTCATTATGTAAGATTGAAGTAGTGAACATATAACGAATATCATAAAATAAATTGTTATAGACCATATATAGTGGAGTGATTAAAAATCAATAACTTCAGTAATCAAGATAAGGATTACAACATTTGTTTCGATGAAATGAGCATCAAGTCACACTAANCAGCAAATGCTTCTATGCAACAGCGACAGAGTTTTGCATTTGCCTCCACAGTTGACTTCCGTGGAAAATTACCAGATACTCTCCCCAGCATACAGCTCGTCAACTGTAGGAAGAGGTTTCTAAATTCGGTTATGGTCCCGCCCACCTGATATGCGTTCGTTAGAAGACTGTGATAGAGAGAGAGACAGAAAGAGAGAGAATTCTCAAACCTCTTCCTTTATTTGACAAGCTGTACATTCCATAATCTCATTAGACGAACACTGAAACAGATCAACATCAACAAAACTTCTGGGTGTGATGAAGTATATCTTGACCTAGCCAAAAATGTGGATAAACTCATACCAATGTTCTATCAACACATTTTTGAATATATCGAATACTTCCACATCATCATCAATATGATTTCCGGAAATGCCATTTGTACATATGCCACACTCCTTTAAAATAGAGAAACACGAATCGTCTGGGGTTATTGCATTTGTAATTCCACGGTCTTCAAATTTTGTAAATTAAACTTCAATTTTATTGCTTATCAGATAGTCTTTGATCAAAAACCCATCAGCTTTCTCAGAAAACGTTTTTTACAAGTAGCCGTTTATGGTTTTCTCAGATACCTTCACCACCAGCCCTGGTATCCCCCAGATATTTATATTATCTTATCGCCTATTTCTATTATCGATCTATCAGAATAATTCAGTTAACTGGCTAAAGCACACATGTTTCTTCTTTCTCAATGCTCGAATATAAGCTGCCAATACAGTCAAATGACACCAAGATATTTTGTATCTTGATATTTGAAAACCAAGTGAAATTCAATGCAACGAAAATCCAGGCATTGGTTTTGTCAATGAAGGTGAATTTGGTCAACCGGACATCATACTGTCAGGGCACATAGTTCCACTAGCTCAGACGTAACTGGAAAAGCTAAGTCAACTTCTCAGACATTTGGATCACTATATTGAACTAGAAAGTGGTTCACAACTCAACAACTTTTGATGCCTCATAATCCAAATTTGACCTTTTTGGGACATTTCTCAAATCTCCAAGCACATTCTGAAGATGCTAAGCTAGACAGAAAAGTGGATTTCGCCTGATTTGAGACCAAAACTTCACAAGCAAACTTAATAGCCTGTCTTCTATCCATAGATAGTTTCACAGGAAATTTTAAATCACTCAGTCCGCTTGATTTTTCAATAATTCTTCTTTTCTTCTGAAATACTCGTACATCGTTATAATCACCAGGTGAATATTGGAATGAATGACTATAAAAAATTATTAGAATTTATTAAATCGTCAATGATACATATTTAATGAATTTCTTCGATTCTAAATGAAGCCTAACAATTGCAAACTATTGAATTCAATCCTTCAACTGAAAAGAACCCATTATTCAAAACCAAAAGCAAAGAAAGGCTCGAACTGTGTTTTCAAAAATTGAATTAAATTAAGTATCTATTTGTGAAAATGAAACCTTAAAATATACCGAATGTGATCCAAACTCTGAAAAGTAATATGCAGAGTGTAACTCTTTTTCAAGCATGTCAAGCATGTCAGTATCACCATCACATCAAATTGAAAAATAAGATTTTTCCATATTCACTTAGCGACATCCAAATTTCATCTGGTATATTTCACAACTATGAAATAAGTTATTCTTGCAGTCAAATATTTCATTTAACCACATCACGACAGATTTTTTTAACATTATTTCACGTATTCATTCCTGCTATTTCCTCCTCCTAAAATTTTTTGTATTTCTAAATTGCTAATTCCTTTAGTTTCAGGTAGAACTAATACTACAAAAATGACACTTAGAAGTGTGAAACCACTGAATAGTGTGTGTGTGTGTGTGTGTTTGGTTTCCGTGTTCGTCAATCGGAGAATCTGAATTCTGGTTTGAACCGTCTGAAGTCTTAAAATTTTTAGCTTTTCGGCTTTGAAGTCAATTTCTAAAAAGTATGGACACACTGGGGTTTCAATCAACCTACTTCCACATTTCATAGTTTCTGTGATTTGACGTCGAGGTCTCGATCTGCCTTCTCCACAGATCTCCCCAGAAGGGACTCTTGCTGATATCTCTTCAATATGCCACTATGGGAGTTGTAAGAGAATATTTCAGTAGATGATCCAGACGCACCATTACAGTTCTGCACATACCTACCTGGATGGTTACAGGTTATTTGGGACGATCAGAAAAGTGTCTACCGGTAACCCTGCAAATATCATTGAAATGATTCACAGTAGACCTACTTCCCAAGCTATACATTTTTGTTGCTCACCTAATTGACGAAGGTAGTCACAGACTAACTGCCGATCAGATCTTCACTTGATTGAGAAAAATGTACCAGAGTTTGTCAACGTTGAAGTGGATTTGTCACGAGAAAATTCTAGCTCAGATAGTAGAGCATTTGTTAAGGAACTAGTTTTATTTGGTCGAGCTTGAATATATATGAGCCACAATTAACACTTGCAAGAAGTTGCATCGAAGGGGGTTAAATAGATCATTTCACTTTAGACCTATCAACTACATCTAGTCGGATTAAAATAGGAATATGTATTTCACTAGTTCGGACTTCCATTGTCTACTATATAAAATGATTTGAAATCCCTGGAACAACTAAAAAAGAAGAATTAAAAATGAGTAGCTGAAAATAATAATTATATTAACCAATATAAACCTGAAATGAAATAATAGTGAAATAAAATACAAGTAAAAATAGAACAATTGAATAAAAAAAATGAAAAAAATAAGATCCATTATTGTTTGACTTACCTTTAGTATTTAGTTTCATTATTAGAGCATTATGAACTTGTGCAGCATTTCTCTACTTGTAACAGTGCAATATTTCGGGTGGTATCTTTCATCACCGTATAGAAGTAAACACAAGTAAGTTCACTCTCGGCCATATTTGCGCGAATTTTATGCGCCGCCGAACTACAGCGCAGCCGACTGAATCAGAGGCGTTTACCAAGCGAGCCAAATTGAGGCATGGAATATTATTACAGAGTGAGTCGTTGTAAGTGGTGGTTTTGTATTTGTGAAACATTTGTGTATAGTTTCAAAATGAGCAAGTGTCGAGCTGTGGGTTGCTGTAATTTGCAGGGTGATGTCGGCATTCATTTTTTTCGATTTCCAATTGACGAAAAAATGTATGTTTTTCTAGCATTCATTATGTAAGATTGAAGTAGTGAACATATAACGAATATCATAAAATAAATTGTTATAGACCATATATAGTGGAGTGATTAAAAATCAATAACTTCAGTAATCAAGATAAGGATTACAACATTTGTTTCGATGAAATGAGCATCAAGTCACACTCATTCTACAATATAGGAAAGGATAGAATAGTTGGTACATACATGGGGTACATTTGAACTCGAAACAGCCTGTTGCATACTTTTTTACCAAAAAGTATTGTGATTGAAGCTGTTAGGCAATTATCAAGAATTGGATTGAGAGTTAGGGGTATCATTTCAGATTCAGGTTCTAATTTTTATAAACTTGCCACAAAAGATCTCGAAGTGACTGTAGAGCAGTTATATTTCTTTGTTGATGAGAAAAAAATATTTTACTTTTTTGATACTCCTCATTTGCTAAAATGTAGCAGAAACCATTTTTTGATGACTTTTTTAAATTTGATGAATGTACAACGAACAAAAGTCATCTTGAACAACTTTACAACTTGGATAAGGGAAAGCAATATAGACTAGTACCCAAACTTACTGATTCTCGTTTATTTCCAACTAAGGATGAAGGTTAAATTGGCCAGTCAAGTTTTCAGTCATTCGGTAGCTACAGCGATGAATACCTATAACCTTCAGAATAGATTAGCATAAGTTCTTGACCTAAATTGTATAATCTTACTATATAAAATATACGTTTATTTCACCACCTTGGCTTATTTTTTATCAATTCCTAAACAGTTCACAATCATTGGGAGCTCCTCGTAGCAATGATGAAATTACTTCACTTCGTGCATTCGTGCAGAGGTGCTTAACAGCTCTTAGCCTACAGCCTCCTGCCCCGCTACATGCCAGCAAAAAATAAAATCTCGATCCGAAACATCAAAGAGACCGACCAGGAGTGAATTTACTTATGTTTACTTATATATGATGCTTTCACTGTTAGTTATTTGAATACACAATTGCAATGGCTGTGGATAGAATGACTGGATTCACTTTTCGAACTAAACGAATGTTTTTTGTCGTGCAAATATAGGATAATGAAAGAGTTGAAAAAAATATCTTTTCAAAATATTCGTCACAGCACACCTCTCTGCATTAGAATAAATAAGACTGAACGCAATTCCCGCAAAGGGGTTGAATTTACAGTGGTGAAATCAATTTGTTAATATGTCCTCCTGAAAACAAAATTATACAGCTCCAAGAAATGTTTTGTTCTCACAGTACCTAAACCTTGCTGGATTGTTTTGGATAGTTCATCCTGTATATAAAATAATATCTTCTCATACTTTCAATGAATAGATGAACAATGTTTACTTTCAATCTTATTATTTTGTCTATTTGAACTATGTTGGCAGAACTGAAACGTGCACATGAAGAATGAATTTTTGCAGCAATATGTTGGAAGATATGTATTATTTATTGATAAATAATGAACCTAGCCAGAAATTTCCTAATTTCTAAAAAGTGATCTGTCCTACTTTCATAACATTGCTGTCGTTTTTTGGCATTTCTAACCATATTTATGATGGAATCAACTAATATTGTAGATCAAATGTGTTGGTATTTAATTAAATTTCACTTGAAAAATAAAATTTCCAAATATTTTAAATGGATATTGTGAAGTGAGGTTACTTTTTTACTGGATCAATCTCAACTTAAGCTTCAAAAGTCGATGGTTTGATATAACTCCGTGGTGAAATGAACCAGGTTCACTTTTCAACTTTCCTTGTAAAACTCATAATTTCATTTGAACTAAACTCAAAACTTGAACCACACTTGGGTTGCGATTTCACATCTGGGTCGAAATTTTTCGAGCTAGCGATTCGTTACTGTCCCGTTACTGCCACCTTCAATAATGACACCAGCAAATGCTTCTATGCAACAGCGACAGAGTTTTGCATTTGCCTCCACAGTTGACTTCCGTGGAAAATTACCAGATACTCTCCCCAGTATACAGCTAGTCAACTGTAGGAAGAGGTTTCTAAATTCGGTTATGGTCCCGCCCACCTGATATGCGTTCGTTAGAAGACTGTGATAAAGAGAGAAACAGAAAGAGAGAGAGAGAGAGAGAGAATTCTCAAACCTCTTCCTTTATTTGACAAGCTGTACATTCCATAATCTCATTAGACGAACACTGAAACAGATCAACATCAACAAAACTTCTGGGATATGGTTTTCTCAGATACCTTCACCACCAGCCCTGGTATCCCCCAGATATTTATATTATCTTATCGCCTATTTCTATTATCGATCTATCAGAATATTTCAGTTAACTGGCTAAAGCACACATGTTTCTTCTTTCTCAATGCTCGAATATAAGCTGCCAATACAGTTAAATGACAGCAAGATATTTTGTATCTTGATATTTGAAAACGAAATTCAATGCAACGAAAATCCAGGCATTGGTTTTGTCAATGAAGGTGAATTTGGTCAACCGGACATCATACTGTCAGAGCACATAGTTCCACTAGCTCAGACGTAACTGGAAAAGCTAAGTCAGCTTCTCAGACATTTGGATCACTATATTGAACTAGAAAGTGGATAGTTTCACGGGAAATTTTAAATCACTCAGTCCGCTTGATTTTTCAATAATTCTTCCTTTCTTCTGAAATACTCGAACATCGTTATAATCACCAGGTGAATATTGGAATGAATGACTATAAAAAATTATTAGAATTTATTAAATCGTCAATGATACATATTTAATGAATTTCTTCGATTCTAAATGAAGCCTAACAATTGCAAACTATTGAATTCAATCCTTCAACTGAAAAGAACCCATTATTCAAAACCAAAAGCAAAGAAAGGCTCGAACTGTGTTTTCAAAAATTGAATTAAATTAAGTATCTATTTGTGAAAATGAAACCTTAAAATATACCGAATGTGATCCAAACTCTGAAAAGTAATATGCAGAGTGTAACTCTTTTTCAAGCATGTCAAGCATGTCAGTATCACCATCACATCAAATTGAAAAATAAGATTTTTCCATATTCACTTAGCGACATCCAAATTTCATCTGGTATATTTCACAACTATGAAATAAGTTATTCTTGCAGTCAAATATTTCATTTAACCACATCACGACAGATTTTTTTAACATTATTTCACGTATTCATTCCTGCTATTTCCTCCTCCTAAAATTTTTTGTATTTCTAAATTGCTAATTCCTTTAGTTTCAGGTAGAACTAATACTACAAAAATGACACTTAGAAGTGTGAAACCACTGAATAACCAGAAACTCCCAGACATATCTAGAATTATAGATATATATGGAAAAACCAGAGTTACTAAAAAGACTGTAATTAAACAGGAACAAGAGGAAATACTAGAACCCAATGATTTTACGTTAGGAGAGAATATTTCACCAGAAATAGTCCAGGGCAAAGATGCGAACCCCATATTGAAGAAGAAAAAGAATATTATCAAACTACAGATTGGAAGCCACCAAATAGCATCGACATCAAACTCATTATTTTTCAAAAAGAAATAAGTTCCTAAGGAAATTAGTGAAAGAGAATTACCCAATCCAGAAATAATAAGGAGTGGTTTCCTTCCTAATCGATCAACTAGAAAAATTATGATGATATTACTCATTATTTGGACAACAGCTGGTGGAATGGGAGCGACACTTGACGGAATCGTACTGCCACTAGATTCAAATATAGTCTGCATGTACGCCAGAACAGCACCAATACCGCTCAGCTGCTGAAGAGCTTGCAACCCAACAGATATTGTCAACCCCTTCACGAAAGCCCTAGATTTGAACATATCCTTCACATGGGTTTTATTAGCCTGGGAATCTTTTACACATTTTTCTATGTATATCAATTCCTTCTGAATGACAGTGATTTCTTCTCCACCTCTCAACTTTTTCAGACATTTTTCTGCCCTATTCTTTCCATCAACAGCCAATAGATAATAGGGGCTCTCAGGAACGAAAGGGACAAATGTGATATAAAATAATATTAACGGTACTAGTTGAACCAAGCTGAATGCTTTCACGCTCAGAAAAGGCCCAACTGCGTATGTGAACAGATGACCTACGGCTACAGATATGCCCATCACAGCCCCAAGGATACCACGATTCTCATCTTCAGCTATTTCACCAACGTAGCTGGGTAACACGGAGAGTACCGTCCCGACAGTTATCCCTAGCATAAATCTTGCTATGTAAAACAAATTTATCTTCGTTGCGAATGCCATCAATGCATATCCTGCTAACATCGGTAAAGCCATTATAATCAAAGTCTTCTTTCTTCCCAGCAATTCCGCTATAACTATCGATATTGTGGATCCTATAATACTTGATATAAAGAGAATTGAAGTGACGCATGCCTCCTCAAAAACAGTTATGGGAGCTTCCAACGGGTTTATTTCAGCATCACTGCTCGTCAGCTTTGGTAGAGTTGGAGATCCCCAAGAGAATGCACCCGCAAGGGAAAAGGCCAATAAGTTGACTGTCAACAAAAAACAATCTTCAGTTCTGTTGAATATGAAATTTAGATAACTAATCGTAGAATTACAACGAAGTATTAATTGATCATATTCAATTTGACAGCTTTTATCAAAAAAAGGATTGAAATAGTTTGAATCAACTCTCGAACTAGCTCTCGACAAAAATATGGTCATTGTCACATTTCCAAGGCAGTATTGAAACTTCGATAACTAATCTACTACCACATTCTATAGACAACACCATCTATTATTAACAGTGGTTTTATATTAGAACTAGCGGACCAGGCCACGTGTTGCTGTGGCTAAGGTTTTTGTTATATTACAATGTAGTAAATATAAACTATTTGAGAGGAACGGTAGGAGAACATCGGTCTCGGGGACCACCATGCTTTTTTACATAGATGCCATTTGTAAAAAAAATATGTCCACCTCCATGACAGATTTTCTACTACCGTAACCCCTCAGTACAATGAAATTATCATTTACGAAAGAAGACGGAAAATTTAAAGCTGGTATAAAAATCCACTGGATTGGGATTTGAAGGGAAAGAACTTTGAACACGATTGATTAAAATTTCCGTACAGTAATTCTACTAAAGTTTATTATTATTTTTATTCAATTTTGTAACAAATGAGTATATTACAAAGTTGTTAGTGGATAACATTAATGAGGTAGGTAGGGCAGATAATCTTAAATCTTCAACAATAATATTTATCATTTTGAATTATGAATAGTTTTAATTTCAATTCAATTTAGCACTAATCGGTACACAATATTTTTGGTTAAGATGTCTTTAGCTAACACAAATAGATTTGACGGTTTCCCTACTTCTCTCTCAAAAATGGCAGGTGGAGGGATCTTCTGTCCACCTGCCATTTTTAAGACAACGACGCTCAGTCCGATTCTCAAAAAATAAACGCCAAAAACATAGGAAAACATGACAAGAACCTTTACTAACAATCACCATCAAATAAAAAGAACAACAGCACTTCAACATTATTTACATTTTGAAAAGTTATCAATAATTTTAAGCAAGGAAACCAGTCAAATATTCAACGTGTTATAAAAAGCCTCTAGCCAGGGGCGAATGTTGAAATTGTTCTCAACCTAGAAAAAATCATTTATACAAATTTTTAAAAGAAATAATTTTTTTATGGTTACGGCACAAAATCAGAAACTGATATATCCATTGACTTGATCCCTGTTTTGCTGTAATTTATTATTTTATTGGTGCAAACTTATATTTTTAATTAATTTTACATCACTGTTCTCACCTGATATAACTGCAAAGTAAAGAAAGTATCTGTTCTGATGATCTGACATCTTTACTTTGCTCCTGGGCCGCTGATGTATAACAATGGCCTGGTGGATTTTCAGTGCAAATACATGTGCGAGGAAGCTCTATTTATGCATCACAAAACGTTATTAAATTATCATGATACTATGTGATAAACTAATTCATCCGTCAACCTACATAGGCGTCCGCTAGGTTAATGAGAGTGATTTCATTGACCTGAACGTTAAGTTGTTTTTTGCATACTTGAAAATTCACAAGGTGTCCTATCAACATTCAGCTTTTGATGTTTGTGTCGATCATATATTACGGAAGAGTTCCAAACAATTCACGATTACATGATATTTGCAAATGAAAACATTCAAAAAATAATTTTACTTATTTCCTTCAATGCATACAAATCATAAACCAGTTGAAGGCTAGACAGCATTTACAGTTTTACAGCGATTGAAAGCACTAGAGACCTGTTTAGCCGATTGAAGTAAACATAATTAGGTGCNGTGGATCATTAACAAAAATATATTACTTTTCGAATATTCGTTAAACTATAGGAATTAGGATTGTTATATTAAACAAATACTGTGAAACAAATAGTTATATGTAATAATTCTGATATCAGGGTGATATGAGGTTCATGACACTAAATGAAGGTCATATGTGGACAATATTCCTTATGGAGTTCTTAGTTTTGAGAGAGACGAATATTGCCTAAGAAGAGAGAAATAATGGGTGTAAATCCTAGATTTTCTTTCCAAACCCTGTAATACCCTGTGATAATAATTTGTAATAAATGTAATGTAACGTTCAAGAACTGAAGTATAAATCAATGAAAATATTTAGTCAATATGTAAGAAAAAACAAAGATGAAGGAAAAACGTTTTGTAATAAATGTAATGTAACGGTCAATAACTGAAGTATAAATCAATGAAAATATTTAGTCAATATGTAAGAAAAAACAAAGATGAAGGAAAAACGTTTTTCCAAATGGATTTGATCTCCAGCGATTCAAATCGCTACTTTCGCACAGAAACCGCTTTGGGAGCGCCTTAAAGATTTTCCTGTAGTGTTTGTGTCTTGTTTTAAAAAAATCGTTGGTAATTCATTATTTCATACGTTCTCTGACCAAAGTGGAATTGTATTGAGGTTAGAATTTTTGAAAAGCAGATAAATTTTCTCTGATATCGACACATTTTCAAGAGAAACAAAACAAAGATATTCGTCAGAATGAATCTTAAAACCAATAAGATGTAGAAACATTTTCGTACATAACTTTCAAAATGATAAGAGAGATCACTTCACTCCTGTGGCTACACAATGATGTATGGATTTTTCTCCAACAACATATTTGCTGTTTTCAAAACGAGAAGGCTGATGTCAGAAATTGTCATCATGGACCGTCATCGTTAGGATCGTGTTTTTACATATCAGTTTCAAAGGTGAGAATATAAGGAAAAATTGCATGATGCCTCTCCTAGGGTCAAAATAATCCGAGGTAAAATAGCTCTCTAATCGAATTTCCGGGTAGGAGCTGATTCGAGGGCATCATCCTGCAGAATTTATTCGAAAATCACTATTTCTGATAGTCAGAAGGGTCTTTCTAACATCAGTCCACAGGGAAATACCATGGTAACTGCAGTTGCTAAGAGGCCCACTAGCAACGTCAAAATCGAGTTCTGCAAGATCAGAGAACTCAACTCAAAATAAACTCAGTGCACCAACATCCGCAAACAAATAGTCCTCATATTCTTGCAGAAACCAAAGTCAGTACTTCAACAAACCCTTCAACAAATTTTGTATATTCCGGTTATGATTTCTACTCCCGATTCAGACATTATTTTGGAATAACACTCTCCTGTTAACAAGAGGTAATGATGGAACCACCAAAACTTTGATGTTATGTGATTTAAAATAATACCACAGAAGATCACTAAATTCATATGATGTGTTTATTGACCATCAAGCAATACACAAGTTGGGACATTATTCTCTTCACTTGCAAACACCATTGACTTTCTGCGAATCAATCATCCCAGTGCCAAAAATTTACATATTCGGTGACTTCAATGTCCACAATATCGAATGGCTAAAATTTCCAAATATGAATGTCAAGCAAGATCGCGAAGCTGATGCTTTTACATCTCTAATGGTCCATCAACTTGTGCTCCAGAAGTCACGTAAGTTATTCTATCATCCATGGATGAACATATTCTTTATTCAATGTTGTCAAGCCCTGGTTCAACAAAAATTGCGAGTCGATTTTCTGGGAAAGGCCAACCCACTATCCCCACATTAGAATCCACAATGCCGGTAATTACTTTTCGTCTAGTCAGGGGAATTTGGAAACAGTTCAATAGCAACAAAACGTCTGGTCCTGATGAAGTGCCCATCATCGTACTCAAAAGTGCCCAAATAAACTCGCACCAGTATTCTGCAGACTTTTCAACCTGTCTTAGAAGGAAGGGGTTTTTCCTTCTTGTTGGAAGATTGCTCGCGTTCACCATATTCCCAAAAAGGACAAGAAAAATCTTCCAAATAACTATAGACCCAATAACTATAGACCAGTCGCTTGGTCTCTGACCCTCTTTTTATTGTATTTTTTATTTTATTTTATTGGAAAAAAAACAAGAATACGATATATTACTTTGCTGATGACAGCACACTCTTCTTGTTATTCCATTTGGATTCCAGGACATTGGCTGCGGATGCATATCTTCATCGGCAGTAGGGGATTGCATATCTTAATGGGGAACTAGAGGTGATTTCGATTTGCCACAAAAACGCAGGGATCAGTTTTCTCCAAAAAAATTAATGTCTTCGAACCGGATATATTTGATGTCAGGACATACAGTTCAGCTTTCTGCTTCCATAAGTTTGTTGTTGGTTAAAATGGACACCAATATGTCTTGGCACAATCATGTCGTTGGAATTGCAAAGGCTGCTTCTCAAAAGCTTGAAATACTGTTCTGAACTAGAAACTGTACACATGTCAGCAACTTTTGATGCTTTTTAAAGCTCAGATGAGACCTTCTTTGTAGTATTGTTGGAACTGCGCCCCTAAGATGCTGAATTCCATCCAGAGGAAAGTCAACCTCCTGATTGGAGACGCCAACATCACTTGCAACTTCTACAGTCTAGAACATCGAAGAAAGGTGGGGGATTTGTGCCTCTTTCATAGATACTTTCACGGGAAGTGTTCAAGTGACTTAGCATATTTAATTCCACCAAGAGCGGTACATATCAGAAATACGCGACGGACTGTGGCTGCTCATCGTTTCAGGTCCAACTCAGTACACCTCGAACTTCACTGTTCATGAACTCTTTCATTTGGAGAACTGCGTGTCGTCGAATAAACTTCCTGAGAATGTTTTTCCAAATGGATTTAATCTCCAGCGATTCAAATCCAATGTGAATTGGAACGTCCACACTGGCACTGCTCTTAGATCGCATTAGGGATTTTCCTGTGGTGTTGGTGTTTTGTTCTTGAAAAACGACAAATAAAAAAGATGGAGGGTCGGCCTCGAAGCGTGTGAGACCCTTATGCATTTTCATTCGAAATATTCATCAAATGTGGACAATATTCGTTATAGAGGCAAATATCGTCCTGAAAGAAGGGAAAAGTTGATGGAAATTATAGATTTCTTTTTCTAACCCAGTAATAATAAGTTGTAATAAATGTATAATTATCAGATATTTTAATTACGCTGTTACGCCGAAGCACAATCTATTATTACGTTTTCATGATTCAAATTTTGGTTTCAATAAAAAATTACGTCATGTCGGATCTTTGTCAGTTTGCTTTCTGTGGTGACTATTGTCTCATAAATTGATGAATGTAGCTTTACTAAGTGGTAATAGATCATGAAAAGTGAGACATGAAAACTTCCTTTTTCTATCACTTTTTTGTCTGATTAATGTTTACAAACCAATCATTGAAGTTCAATTTCGATATAGTGAAATAATTGTTTCAGATAGCCTTTCATTTGTTTTTTATCGAAATTAATATTTCTAGATGATTTATACATTTTCCTTTTGGGGTTTGTTGACATGATAATTTATTCTTTCCACGACATTTTTCTATTCTTCATATATTAGAGGAAATTCAGAAAATTAAAAATAGCTATTTTTCAATTGACATGTCATTTTATCACATACCCTTTTGATGAGAAATGCCCACTTACTCGTACTCAGCAACATCGAACTACACTCTAGCAAAATAGTGTTGAATATCAGGGATGCAAAGTGTACAACAAACATTCCGACGATATTAAAGTTTCAGGAACTGTACATATTTTCAATAAAAGTCAAAAAACTGTTTGGAAACAAACGTTAAAAGGTAAGACCTCGTTAGTCTTTAGCTCGCACAAGTTTCTCAACTTCTGAGAGTTGTCATTCGTATGGGGACGACAACTGATTAACGGAAAAACAGATTTTTAAACAAAATTATTGCTACGCTGTTGAGTAGTTTCAGCAGGAACTTTATTTTCCATGTGGAGTCTACGTTTTATTTTTTACGCCCTTTTTTTATTTATACACCCGTAGAATTAGTTATTTTTGATTAATTTTTTTACGAGATGATCTGCCTGAGCTTCTGGAGAATGTGTCGCTGAATATCATGTGGTAACAATTGGATGGAGATTTGGCACATTTCAAATTCAGTGTCAGTTTTTGATAATGTGCTTTCCGAATAAATGGATTGGTAGGGGGGAATCACAAAATTGGCCAGCGAGATTACCAGATTTGATTTGCCTCGATACTTAAAGAATGAGGTTTATGACACTCCTCCAATCACACTGAAAAATATGAATGAGAGAATAAGGGCTGCTTTTCGAAGAGTGACGCCTCAAATGTTATTGAATGTTAAGCAGTCATTCATAGAAAGAGTGGATCTTTGTATTCAACAAGATGGTCGTCATTTCGAGCACCTACTCAGAAATAAATGCATTTGTGTTTAACATTGTGTTGTTGCTTGAGTTGAATAATAAAAAAATGTATAGTCTTATTAATGAACTACTGTCAGAATATAAATGTAAATTATAACTTCATCTTAGTGAAGAGTGAAGTATAAAAACTGTCAATGAGAATTATGTGACCAA